AAAAAAAAGAGAAGGATAGTTTTTATCTTTTGGTTTAGAATGTTATGATTACTGTTACAGGCAGCCATAAACTTATGATTTCAATTGAGCCCCAAATTTATGTTGTTAAGGGAGACAGTTGTTAAGTTAATTCTACCTCATTTTAAGACTTGTGTTGCCACAATTAAGTGAATCACTGCAGTTGTTAAGGTGGCAATATTAAGTGAATCTGATTTCCCCATTGACTTTGCTCTTCAGAACGTCACAAAAGGTGCTCACATGACCCCAGGAGACTGCAACCATCACAAATGTGAGTCAGTTGTCAAACATCCTAATCAAGAGGTGGGATTGAAAAATTGTAGCAACTGTTTCTCTGTCTGGTCGCTGGGTGGGCATGGCCATGGTGGGTGTGGCCTATGCAGCCTCCAGCAGCACAGAAAGGGGAGGGTGTTTTCATCCTCTCCAGGCTCCAGAGGCTTTCCTTGAGTCTCCAGGAGAGCGAAAATGCCCCCCCCGGGCTCTGGAGGCCCGTTTCTGGACTTCCGGAACTTTTGGAAATTCTGGGAGACCTGTTTTTTGCCCTCTTCAGGCTCTAGAGGCTTTCCTTGAGCCTTCAAAAGGGAGAAATGGCCTCCCCCAGGATCCAGAGGCCAGAAATGGGCCTGTTTCCAGACTTCCAGAATTTCCAGGAGGCCCATTTTTGCTCTCCCAGAGCCTCCATGTGGGCCCTGCACTTACCTGGCACCCAAAATGGGATATGTGGAGACTCCTGGGAGGGGAGGGGTGGCAGTGGCCAGCCAGTCCTTGCCCACCACCAGTTTTGTGAACCAGATGTAAAATTAGCATTCAGTTCACCCGAACTGGCTGAATCCCACACCTGATCCTAATGTAAATCATGTGACCATGGGGATGTTGAAGTAGTCATATGTATGAAAAATGACCATAACTCACTTTTTTCAGTCTTCTTGTAACTTGGAATGGTCACTAAACAAACTGTTGAGGACAACCTAATATTCAGGATAGAGATTTCAGGTCTGTGAATTTGAGTCTTAGAGGAAAAGGCATGGCCTTTATGTTCCTTTTTTTTTTTTTAGAAAAGGTTATTCACTACATACACATTTCTTTTAATGGAAAATTTTCAAGTTTTACATGCACTGCATGTGTTTTTCTTCAAAATAAAATGAAATAAATGGTAGGTACAATTTGTTTTCTTATTACCCTAGCTTTGCAGGGCCTTTTGAAAGGTCAATGAAAAGACAACATCAATGGTCCATAAGGGGCAGTAATTTATGCATTTCACTTTCTGGGAAATAGTCCAGGCAAAATTAAATTTTAAATTCTCTCCACTTGACTTCTTTCATCAGCAGTTTATTTTCCCCTTCCAACTCTGCCCCTTTTGGTATGCAAACACCCACTTCTTTCAAAAGCTACCTTTTCTGCTCTGTGCTTATTAGAGATTTGTGAAGGTGGGCACTTTAAAACAGTCACACAATGCTTTTGAAGCTGGAAGGGGATCCAGACAGGTAGTAAACACAAAAGATCTAATTTTCACCCAGTAGAAAGTGGCCCTGCAATTGTGCTTCAGAACAGCTTGGGTTTCTTTTTCTAATGCTAGATGAAAATGGTTATTGGCAAGCAAACTAAAGTGGAAACAAACAGGAGCAGCCACCACAGTAGACAAGCTATTGCATTGCACCCCTTATTTTTCTGATTACAAAATCCACTTAGAAGTACAGCAGGACAAGTAGATGTCAGGTTCAGTTTCCATATTAAAGACATAATTTCCTTCCTATCCGTGAAAAACCTCTCCTTTTAAAATCTGTTCCATAAGGAGAAAAAGAAAAGATGCATGATTTTAATCAGTGGTATTCTTTTTTCTTTTCTTTTCTTTCTTTCTTTCTTTTTTTATTACTTGCTTTTAGAAGCAAGGATTGCCTTTTTGGGGTGGAAAATTATTATTATTTTTAGATCAAAGGTGTTGTGTCTTTACTCCAAAATGATAAATGATATAAGAATGCAGTGGTTAGAATGTGCAGTGGTTAGAATGCAGTACTGCAGGCTAACTCATTGCTCATCCCAAGAGTTCAATTCCTGAAGGACCCAAGGTTGACTCAGCCTTCCATCCTTTCAAGGAGCCAGATTGTTGGGAGCACTAGGCTGACTCTG